CCTTGAACTCTGTCCCCAGGGCCTTGCCCTTCCAGGAGGCTTGCTCCTGTATTTGCTTCGGGGACAGGAGCCCTTGAACTCTGTCCCCAGGGCCTTGCCCTTCCAGGAGGCTTGCTCCGCAATAATCCCATTTGGAGAGGTCAGCAAGATACCGATTTCGGACCTCTTACTATTTGACGAACCGTCCACACACAAAAGCCATGGCGATCCTTCACAATTCGTTGGAGACGCTAAGTCGGGAGGAGGCGGTCCTTCTAGAACGGGATGCTCCCCCGAAAACTCAGCTATGAAGTCTGCCAATATTTGACCTTTTATCGCAGTTCGGGGTTTGAAATGAATGTCGTGCTCCCCCAACTCTACTGCCCACTTGGAAATCCTTCTGGAGAGTTCCGCTTTCCTCAAGATCGCTTTCAAGGGCTGATCGGTAAGGACAGTGATTGGGTGCGCCTGGAAATAATGCCGCAGTTTCCTTGCAGTGGTGACCAGGGATAGAGCCAGTTTCTCTAGGGGTAGATATCTTGTCTCTGCGTCCAGGAGCGCCTTGCTTATATAATAAATCGGCTTCTGGCGGTGCTCATGCTCACGGATAAGTACCCCGCTTACCGCAAACTCAGATACTGCCAGGTACAAGAACAGCATCTCCCCCTGGATGGGGACGGATAAGGTTGGAAGAGTCCTTAGGTATTCCTTGATTCCAGCCAGGGCGTCCTCGCACCCCCGGCTCCACATGTTCTTCCCAGCACTCTTGATTGCTCCGAAAAAGGGTTTGCATTTGTCCGAGGAGCGTGAGACGAAACGGTTAAGTGCAGCCAGCATCCCTGTGAGTTTCTGGACTTCTCGGACAGTGCGGGGGCTCCGGATGTCCAGGATCGCTTGAATCTGATCTGGGTTGGCTTCGATTCCTCGTTGACTAACCAGGTATCCAAGGAATTTACCTGATTCCACTCCGAAAACGTACTTTGCCGCATTCAGCTTCAGCTCATACTCCCTGAGGGTGGAGAAGGTTTCCGNGGTCAGCAAGATACCGATTTCGGACCTCTTACTATTTGACGAACCGTCCACACACAAAAGCCATAGCGATCCTTCACAATTCGTTGGAGACGCTAAGTCGGGAGGAGGCGGTCCTTCTAAAACGGGATGCTCCCCCGAAAACTCAGCTATGAAGTCTGTCAATATTTGACCTTTTATTACAGTTCGGGGTTTGAAATGAATGTCGTACTCCCCCAACTCTACCGCCCACTTGAAAATCCTTCCGAAAAGTTCCGCTTTTCTCAAGATCGCTTTCAAGGGCTGATCGGTAAGGACAGTGATTGAGTGCGCCTGGAAATAATGTCGCAGTTTCCTTGCAGTGGTGACCAGGGATAGAGCCAATTTCTCTAGGGGTAGATATCTTGTCTCTGCATCCAGGAGCGCCTTGCTTATATAATANCAGTGGTGACCAGGGATAGAGCCAA